ACCGATGGCTTTGGCCTGCGGTTCGCATACTGGAGTTCATTAAAGCATAATTAATTTTTCAGACAGATCAGGAAATATTCTACTTCAATCCACCGCACTTAAACACCTGAAATGATGGTGTCACTTTTGAAATTGATAGTTAAAACATTTTCTTTTTCGAGCGGGTCTTAATGGTGGTAAAAATTAGAATAGTGAATACAGGCGTTGAAGTGTGTATTAGCAGAGACATAATTTTTTAAAATGTTAATAATGTGGTTGTTTTTGTGAGCTTTTTGTGGTCACGATTATTGTTCTTAATTGCGTTTGTGACGCGCATGCGCCGATCCAGAAGATAAGTGCAAATGTGGGCGATTAGAGTGATACGGGAACGGTGGCGTTCACAAAATGGCGGATGGTGACGATGTTATCATCTGTAAAGGTGGCGCGGGACCTCGGGAATGTAAGACTGATTAGAAATAGGAATGAAGGATACAAGTACAGACGAAATAGAGAAAAGAAGAATAAAGAGAAGAGAGGGAGAGAGAGAGAGTTAAATAAAGAGAGACAGAAAGAGAAAGTATAAGAAAGGAAGGAAGAGAAAAAACAAAAATAAAGGAGTAAGATTAAAAAAAGAGTTAACATGGGAAGAGGAAGACGATGGACTTTAGAAGAAAGAGAAAAGATAATGAATAGAAACTGAGAGAAGAAGAGAATAAACAAAACTGCTGGATAAAGAAAAATGAAAGAAAAAGAGAGAGAATTAAATAGATTTAGAGAGAGGGAGAGAGGGAGAGAGATAGACAGACAGACAGAGCGGGGTAAGGGGAGAGACAGGAGTAAAGAGAAATAGTAAAGTAACAGTCCAAGATTTATAGAACCAAAGTCAAAATAAAACAAAGATGTAGGAGGAAATTGAGAAAGATGGAGAAATAAGAGAGGGAAATGAGAGAGAAACGGAGAAAGAAGGAAAGAAAGAGACAATGTGAGAAGAAAACAAAGAAATAAATATAGAGGAGGAAATTAAGAAAGATAGAGATGGAGAAATAAGGGAGGGAAAATGGAAGAGAAAAGGTTAAAGGCGGAAAGAAAGAGAGAAGGAAAGAAAGAGAGGAGGAAAGAAAGAGAGAAGGAAAGAAAGAGAGAAGGAAAGAAAGAGATGAATATAGGGGAGGAAATTAAGAAAGATAGAGATGGAGAAGTAAGAGAGTGAAAATGGAAGAGAAATGTTTAAAGAAGAAAAGAAAGAGAGAAGGAAAGAAAGAGATGAATATAGGGGAGGAAATTAAGAAAGATAGAGATGGAAAAATAAAAAGAGGAAAAATGGAGAGAGAAAAGGTTAAAGGCGGAAAAGAAAGAGAGAAGGAAAGAAAGATGAATATAGGGAGGAAATTAAGAAAAGATAGAGATGGAGAAATAAGAGGGAAAATGGGAGAGAAAAGGTTAAAGGCGGAAAGAAAGAGAGAAGGAAAGAAAGAGATGAATATAGGGGAGGAAATTAAGAAAGATAGAGATGGAGAAATAAGAGAGGAAAATGGGAGAAAAAGGTTAAAGGCGGAAAGAAAGAGAGAAGGAAAGAAAGAGATGAATATAGGGGAGGAAATTAAGAAAGATAGAGATGGAGAAATAAGAGAGGAAAATGGGAGAGAAAAGGTTAAAGGCGGAAAGAAAAGAGAGAAGGAAAGAAAGAGATGAATATAGGGGAGGAAATTAAGAAAGATAGAGATGGAGAAATAAGAGATGGAAAATGGGAGAGAAAAGGTTAAAGGCAGAAAAGAAGAGAAGGAAAGAAAAGAGATGAATATAGGGAGGAAATTAAGAAAGATAGAGATGGAGAAATAAGAGAGGGAAAATGGGAGAGAAAAGGTTAAAGGCGGAAAGAAAGAGAGAAGGAAAGAAAGAGATGAATATAGGGGAGGAAATTAAGAAAGATAGAGATGGAGAAATAAGAGAGGGAAAATGGGAGAGAAAAGGTTAAAGGCGGAAAGAAAGAGAGAAGGAAAGAAAGAGATGAATATAGGGGAGGAAATTAAGAAAGATAGAGATGGAGAAATAAGAGAGGGAAAATGGGAGAGAAAAGGTTAAAGGCGGAAAGAAAGAGAGAAGGAAAGAAAGAGAGAAGGAAAGAAAGAGAGAAGGAAAGAAAGAGAAAGAAAGAGATGAATATAGGGAGGAAATTAAGAAAGATAGAGATGGAGAAATAAGAGGGGAAAATGGGAGAGAAAAGGTTAAAGGCGGAAAGAAAGAGAGAGGAAAGAAAGATGAATATATGGGGAGGAAATTAAGAAAGATAGAGATGGAGAAATAAGAGAGGGAAAATGGGAGAGAAAGGTTAAAGGCGGAAAAGAAAGAGAGAAGGAAAGAAAGAGATGAATATAGGGAGGAAATTAAGTAAGATAGAGATGGAGAAATAAGAGAGGGAAAATGGGAGAGAAAAGGTTAAGGGAAGAAAGAAAAGAGAGAAGGAAAGAAAGAAGGAAAGAAAGAGAGAAGGAAAAAAGAGAGAAGGAAAGAAAGAGATGAATATAGGGGAGGAAATTAAGAAAGATAGAGATGGAGAAATAAGAGAGGGAAAATGGGAGAGAAAAGGTTAAAGGGGGAAAGAAAGAGAGAAGGAAAGAAAGAGATGAATATAGGGGAGGAAATTAAGAAAGATAGAGATGGAGAAATAAGAGAGGGAAAATGGGAGAGAAAAGGTTAAAGGCGGAAAGAAAGAAGGAAAGAAAGAGAGATGAATATAGGGGAGGAAATTAAGAAAGATAGAGATGGAGAAATAAGAGAGGGAAAATGGGAGAGAAAAGGTTAAAGGCGGAAAGAAAGAGAGAAGGAAAGAAAGAGATGAATATAGGGGAGGAAATTAAGAAAGATAGAGATGGAGAAATAAGAGAGGGAAAATGGGAGAGAAAAGGTTAAAGGCGGAAAGAAAGAGAGAAGGAAAGAAAGAGAGAAGGAAAGAAAGAGAGAAGGAAAGAAAGAGAGAAGGAAAGAAAGAGATGAATATAGGGGAGGAAATTAAGAAAGATAGAGATGGAGAAATAAGAGAGGGAAAATGGGAGAGAAAAGGTTAAAGGCGGAAAGAAAGAGAGAAGGAAAGAAAGAGATGAATATAGGGGAGGAAATTAAGAAAGATAGAGATGGAGAAATAAGAAAGGGAAAATGGGAGAAAAAGGTTAAAAGCGGAAAGAAAGAGAAGGAAAGAAAAGAAGGAAAGAAAGAGAGAAGGAAAGAAAGAGAGAGGAAAGAAAGAGAGAAGGAAAGAAAGAGATGAATATAGGGGAGGAAATTAAGAAAGATAGAGATGGAGAAATAAGAGGAAAATGGGAGAGAAAAGGTTAAAGGCGGAAAGAAAGAGAGAAGAAAGAAAGAGAGAAAAAAAGAGAGAAGGAAAGAAAGAGAGAAGGAAAGAAAGAGAGAAAAAGAAAGAGATGAATATAGGGGAGGAAATTAAGAAAGATAGAGATGGAGAAATAAGAGAGGGAAAATGGGAGAAAAAGGTTGAAGGCGGAAAGAAAGAGAGAAGGAAAAGAAAGAGATGAATATAGGGGAGGAAATTAAGAAAGATAGAGATGGAGAAATAAGAGAGGAAAATGGGAGAGAAAAGGTTAAAGGCGGAAAAAAGAGAGAAGGAAAAAAAGAGAAGGAAAGAAAGAGAGAAGGAAAGAAAGAGAGAAGGAAAGAAAGAGATGAATATAGGGAGGAAATTAAGAAAAGATAGAGATGGAGAAATAAGAGAGGAAAATGGGAGAGAAAAGGTTAAAGGCGGAAAGAAAGAGAGAAGGAAAGAAAGAGATGAATATAGGGGAGGAAATTAAGAAAGATAGAGATGGAGAAATAAGAGAGGGAAAATGGGAGAGAAAAGGTTAAAGGCGGAAAGAAAGAGAGAAGGAAAGAAAGAGAGAAGGAAAGAAAGAGAGAAGGAAAGAAAGAGAGAAGGAAAGAAAGAGAGAAGGAAAGAAAGAGATGAATATAGGGGAGGAAATTAAGAAAGATAGAGATGGAGAAATAAAGAGGAAAATGGGAGAGAAAAAGGTTAAAGGCGGAAAGAAAGAGAGAAGGAAAGAAAGAGAGAAGGAAAGAAAGAGATGAATATAGGGGAGGAAATTAAGAAAGATAGAGATGTAGAAATAAGAGAGGCAAAATGGAATAGAAAAGGTTAAAGAAGGAAAGAAAGAGAGAAGGAAAGAAAGAGATAAATACAGGAGAGGAAATTAAGAAAGATAGAGAGGGTGAAATAAGAGAGGGAAAATGGGAGAGAAAAGGTTAAAGGCGGAAAGAAAGAAAGAGAGAAGGAAAGAAAGAGATAAATATAGGGGAGGAAATTAAGAAAGACAGAGACGGCGAAATAAGAGAGAGAAAATGGGAGAGATAAAGAAAAAAAAAAGGAAAGAATTTGAAAATAATGATATAAAACGAAAGGAATTGAAGATATTTTAGTTGAAAAAGAAGAGCATTCAGATGAAGGGTGAAAGGAAAGATATCCCTATATGTAAGAATAAACGAGAGAGAAATAAAAATAGGCAATGAGGAGAGGCAAGAAAAATAAGAAAATGTCATTTGGTAGTAATGAAGATGTCAATCACTTGAGGAGGTGCTGAAAAAATAGCGACGATACAAAGAGAGAAATATACGAAGATATATAAATAAATCCGTAACTTAATGATACAAATGTATTTACAATATACTATAAATATGTATTTAATCTTGTCAATGCATTTAATCACATGGATCGAACATTATACAGTGAAAATTTTAGATCAAAATTCCGCTAATAACTACGCATCAGATTTATTAACACACACACACACACACACACACACACACACATGTTTTACTCCTCCCCCATATATACATATATATGCTTTAATCATACGCGACGTCGCAGCTGATTGGACTGGGGCAAATGATGCTGTTTGCAAAGAGAAGGGCAAGAAGCAAGACTTAAAATATTGAAATAGATTTAATTGTATTAACCAAACAGTAGTAATAACAAGAAAGAAAGTCGAAAGAAAGAAAAAGAGGAAAAGTTAATTTGTGAAGAAAGATAGGCGAGGAGAAAAAAAAAAGGAAAAAAAAAAAGACGATAAAGAAGACAACGAAGAAACGAAACAAGCAAAGGGTGAGCAACAATAACAAAAGTAATAATTGTAAATGAAGAGGCACCGACAAGAAAAAAAAGAAGAAAAGATAAAAGAAGAAAAGGAAAAAGAAGAAAAAAGAAAAAAAAGATAAAAGAAGAAAAGGAAAAGATAAAAAGTAAAAAAAGAAAAGAAATAAGAAGAAAAGAAAAAGAAAAGAAAAAAGGAAAAGAAAAGAAAAATGAAGAAAAGGAAAAAAGAAAAGAAATTAGAAGAAAAGAAAAAGAAGAAAAAAGAAAAAAGAAAAAGAAAAAATGAAGAAAAGAAAAAGGAAGAAAAGAAAAAAGAAAAGAAAAAGAAGAAAAGAAAAAGTCGAAGAAAAGAAAAGAAGAATAAAATAAAAACGAAAGTAGCAAAGAACGAGAAAAAAAAGCAATGAAAAAATGGAAGAGAAGGGAAAGTTGTAAAGAAACGATGAGACAAAGATGGTGGAGGAAATTGAGAAAGATGGTGATGGAGAAATAAGAGAGGGAAAATAAGAGAAAAAGAGAAAGAAGAGAAAGAAACAAACATAGAAAGTAACAAACATAGAAAGTAATAAACAAAAAGACAAAGATGGAAGAGAAAATAGAGAAAGTTGGAGATGGAGAAGATGAAAAAACAATGTGCTTATCCAAGGAAACAAACTTAAAAAAGACGATGACAATAACAAAGAAGAAGAAGAAGAAGAAGAAGAAGAAGAAGAAGAAGAAGAAGAAGAAGAAGAAGAAGAAGAAGAAGAAGAAGAAGAAGAAGCCAGAATGAATTACAGAAAACGAGCATAATATCGTTTAATGCAGAACAACGAGGAGAAGAGGAAGAAAGAAAAGAAACAATAAATTTGGAATTAGGACGAATTAAAAATGATATTAAGCCGTAGAAGGAAAGAACATAAAAGTAGAAAGAAAGCAAGAAATAAAGAAATAATGAGAGTAGAAAGAAAGAAAGAAAGAAAGAAAGAAATAAAGAAAGAAAGAAAGAAAGAAAATGAGAGTTGAAAGAAAGAAAGGAAGAAAGAAAGAAAATGAGAGTTGAAAGAAAGAAAGAAATAAAGAAAGAAAGAAAGAAAATGAGAGTTGAAAAAGAAATAAATAAATAAAGAAAGAAAGAAAAGAAATGAAAATAAATAAAGAAAGAAAGAAAGAAATGAGAGTTGAAAGAAAGGAAGGAAGGAAGCCTGAAAATGAGAGTTGAAAGAAAGAAAGAAAAGAAAGAAAGAAAGAAAAAAAATGAGAGTTGAAATAAAGAAAGAAATAAAGAAAGAAAATGAGAGTTGAAAGAAAGAAAGGAAGAAAGAAAGAAAATGAGAGTTGAAAGAAAGAAAGAAATAAAGAAAGAAAGAAAGAAAATGAGAGTTGAAAGAAATAAATAAAGAAAGAAAGAAAATGAGAGTTGAAATAAATAAATAAATAAAGAAAGAAAGAAAATGAGAGTTGAAAGAAAGAAAGAAAGAAAGAAAGAAAGAAAATGAGAGTTGAAATAAATAAATAAAGAAAGAAAATGAGAGTTGAAAGAAAGGAAGGAAGGAAGAAAGAAAATGAGAGTTGAAAGAAAGAAAGAAAGAAAGAAAGAAAGAAAATGAGAGTTGAAATAAAGAAAGAAATAAAGAAAGAAAATGAGAGTTGAAAGAAAGGAAGGAAGGAAGAAAGAAAATGAGAGTTGAAAGAAAGAAAAAAAAGAAAGAAAAGAAAAGAAAATGAGAGTTGAAAGAAAGAAAGAAATAAAGAAAGAAAATGAGAGTTGAAAGAAAGGAAGGAAGGAAGAAAGAAAATGAGAGTTGAAAGAAAGAAAGAAAGAAAGAAAGAAAGAAAATGAGAGTTGAAAGAAAGAAAGAAAGAAAGAAAGAAAGAAAATGAGAGTTGAAATAAATAAATAAATGAATAAAGAAAGAAAATGAGAGTTGAAAGAAAGAAAGAAAGAAAGAAAGAAAATGAGAGTTGAAATAAATAAATAAATAAAGAAAGAAAATGAGAGTTGAAAGAAAGGAAGGAAGGAAGAAAGAAAATGAGAGTTGAAAGAAAGAAAGAAAGAAAGAAAGAAAATGAGAGTTGAAATAAAGAAAGAAATAAAGAAAGAAAATGAGAGTTGAAAGAAAGGAAGGAAGGAAGAAAGAAAATGAGAGTTGAAAGAAAGAAAGGAAGAAAGAAAGAAAATGAGAGTTGAAAGAAAGAAAGAAAGAAAGAAAGAAAGAAAGAAAATGAGAGTTGAAATAAATAAATAAAGAAAGAAAGAAAATGAGAGTTGAAAGAAAGAAAGAAAGAAAGAAAGAAAATGAGAGTTGAAATAAATAAAGAAAGAAAGAAAGAAAGAAAGAAAATGAGAGTTGAAATAAATAAAGAAAGAAAGAAAAAAATGAGAGTTGAAAGAAAGAAAGAAAGAAAGAAAGAAAATGAGAGTTGAAATAAATAAATAAAGAAAGAAAGAAAGAAAGAAAATGAGAGTTGAAAGAAAGGAAGAAAGGAAGAAAGAAAGAAAGAAAGAAAGAAAATGAGAGTTGAAATAAATAAATAAAGAAAGAAAGAAAATGAGAGTTGAAATAAATAAAGAAAGAAAATGAGAGTTGAAAGAAAGAAAGAAAGAAAGAAAGAAAGAAAGAAAATGAGAGTTGAAAAAAAGAAAGAAAGAAAGAAAATGAGAGTTGCAATAAATAAATAAAGAAAGAAAATGAGAGTTGAAAGAAAGAAAGAAAGAAAGAAAGAAAATGAGAGTTGAAAGAAAGGAAGAAAGGAAGAAAGAAAATGAGCGTTGAAAGAAAGGAAGAAAGAAAATGAGAGTTGAAATAAATAAATAAATAAAGAAAGAAAGAAAGAAAGAAAGAAAGAAAATGAGAGTTGAAAGAAAGAAAGAAAGAAAGAAAAAGAAAGACATGAAGATAAAGAAAAATACATGCTTAGCGAAAAATCATGACAAACAGATTTTTAAAAAAATGACAAGAAATCTTCCGAAAAAATGATTTAGAAATGAAACTTACTGCAAAGAAACTGAATGAGTCAGGGATGAACAGTGTGGCAAGATTTTGATGAGAAGATGAGGGATGGGGAATTGTTTGCGAAGTCCACGCCTGATAAGGAAATTGTTGTACTAACTACAAATTATCTTTGACCCATCATTCATTAAAATTACGATAACGATTTAAAGAGAAGAAACTGATGGGCAAGATATCTGTGATGTCGGAGACGAGTTTAGACCACCGCAAATTGAATAAAAACAATAACGAGGCTAAGCACAATAACAATGCCAAAGATACAACAACGAAAAAGCAAGAAAACAAAGGAAAATAAAAATACTATTTTCTCATAGTAACCATTCATTATTCATTATGGCGTCGATAATGTTGGCGATGATGAAGAAGATATTTGATTTAATTTGTGATGACTATCGTGAAGAATATTGCAATAAAGCTTTTATCTTATTGTTTGTAATTTTTCTAATTTAAACGTTAATTCAGTGGATACACATATTTGAGTCAGCCGCCCCATTTATTTATTAAACAATATATTTATTTTCGTCTACCGGTCAGAATATTCAAGAAAACTTATTAAAGAAAAAAAAGGACACTGGGCGGATTTGAACTTGCGTCCCCACATTCAGAATAATCCTTTACCAGATCCGATACACACTAACCGACTCAGCCATGGAATACGCCAGCGAGATAAGCGAGCCAAATAGTATATTATAAACGCAAATTCTTCCCATATTCTCGACAGTTCCTATCTGCACAATTTCGTATCCGAACGTAAAAAAAAGCAAATTCTAGAGAAGTAAAGTATATTTTATTTATTAACCCAAGGTTATTTTAGTGGATGCCCATATTTGAGTAGACGCTCTGTTTATTTATTAAACAACATATTTATTTATTTTCGTCTACCGGGCTGAATAATCAAGAAACCCCATCAAAGAAAAATATCCGCTCGCCGACAAGATTCGAATAAAAGAACAAAAATTAAATAGACAGATTTTTGTGATGTCAACGAACACTCGTTTCCACTTTTGTGATGCCAGCTTATACTTGTTGTCACTTTCGTAATGCTCATTGTAGTAGAGACTTTGTAATCGCAGTTACAACTATAGTACGCCGTTGAACAATACTGGTGTCAGACGCCGTCGAATAACACTCGCACTAATAGTACTTGCTCGATAATACTCGCTCGAATAGTAACTACCAAATAGTGCTCTGAATAGAAAAATAGTATAGTGAATAGAGTAGAGAATAGCGGTCCGTATAGTAATAGAAAATAGAATAGAAATGCAGATCTGAATAGTAATAGAGGATAGAATAGAAAAGCAGATCCGTATAGTAATAGAGGATAGACTACGAATAACGATCAATCTAGACGTCACGCGACTTCCTATATATGCGTTTCCTCTATGGTCACGTGATCTACTTAATTCAATAATGGGATCGCCTATGTTTGCTCACTGGCGATCTATGTTCAAACTCAAGTGTCGGCAGTGACACTATTCCTATAAAACACAGATGATAATGATTGCCATTACATTTCAATTTTTTAGATCAAAGCTTGCTGGATAAAAAGAAGCCGGAAAAAAAAAAGAACTACAAGTGAAAAGAAGAGTGACAGAAGAAATTGTTTGTAAAGAACTCATGGTTACATATAGCCAGATGAGACCTTGCCGCCAATCTAGTACTGCGCTTAATTTCATAAAGTCTGGGTACCGCAGAGAAAAAAATAATCAGAATAATTACCATGAAAGTATTTACAGAAAAAGGCACAGGGAAGCTACATTAACGCCGGTAGGAAAGTGACTAACGACGAAATGCCATGTCAGGACCAATAACATTGCAGATATTATCAAGAATCTCTAGATATATAGAAGGAGCAACGGCCATACGTGGCAGCACTTTTTCAAGGCAAAGACGAATGGTAGATTTATAGATATGTAAGATACGTTCTGGTAAGAAAATGTGTCTAGCACCACATAGTGAAACAAATTTCCTAGCAGCAAATCTAGCAGTGGATTCAATATAATCGTTCCACTTAGTCCGAATTGACACAATGAGTCAGTTTCCTGAATAATGTTTCTATTTCCTTGTGTTCCTTTGTTGTCCTTGTCGATTCGAAAAGATGCATTTGTGAATTTTATTCGGAACTGTAACCAAATCTTTGTACTATTATTATTATTATTTGTTATACTGGAACACACCTATTCTATAGTTAATAGACTCTCCCACCTATAATAAGTAGTAGTAGCAGTCGCTGGGTCGCCAGTGAGTTGGTCAGTCAGTCGATGTCGGACGACCGTTAGTCGGATATTAAATTATCAGCCACCACAACTAGATTGCTGCGTCATTAACTCTTATATCAAGTTCCTAACGTTTTGTACGTCGAACCTATTTTAGGACCGACTTAGTACAAATACAAGCCTCCACTGGGAAACCACTACATAACATTATTATTATTATTGAAGATTGTAAATTGTAGGAAGAATTAAAGAAGTCAAGAAGGGATTTCCACAGGCGGGAAGTACGAGAAATATAATATAACATACGGTCGCATCCCGTTAGTTCAACAGTA